GGATGAGACCAGTGGAGTATCTTAGATGGCCGCTCACAGGCTTTTAAGACCCCAGACACTATTCACCAAGGTAGAATGTAGAGCATTGTCTTTATAAGCTGTGTTATGCCAGTTGAGCTAGATGTTCCCCGCCATGAGCCACACTTTTGAGTCACAAGCATTGACAGCATATTTCAGAGTGTTTGCTCTATTGAGTAAATGTTTCTCTTTCCTCCCATTTCTTTACATTTTAGGGGGATTTTCGTGGAGGGCCTCTCCTGTGTTCTTGATGGCGTATTTGGTACTGGGAATGGCTCAACTTCATCCAGTCCCAACATTGGAGTGTTGGGAATTACTAAGGTAGAATTATTTTTCTAATTAAATGGTTGGGCCTCAAGGTATCCATTGCGTTGATTGGTCTGACCACTGTGAGTTCTAAAAGGAAGGGTCTCTGATTCTGAGGTCTTCTCCCTCATCTCCTTTTTTCCTCTGAGGGGTTTTAGAATGCCGATTTGGAGGTCTCTCTCCCTTGGCAGGTTTGGGTAGGGAGGTACCCAAATGCTCCCTGTCCCTCATGCGTTCAACAGACATTTATTAACTGCTGCCCTCGTGCCAGGCTACTCTTGCAAGTACTCAGCTTAATTAGTGAACAAAAAAGAAAAATAGCCTTATCTTCATGGAGTTTACATTCTAGCTGGGGAGGACTAAAAATAGACAGTAAACATAATAAGTCCATAAATGATATGGTACATCAAAGGGTGACGAGTACTATGCAGGAAGCAGAGTGGGCCAGGGAATTGACAGTGGAGGGTGGTGAGTGTTACATAGGGAGGCCTGGAGGCCTGGTTAAGAAGATGACATTGAGCAGAGGCCTGAAGGAGGCCAGGGAGGGAGCCCTGGGGAAGAGCAGCCAGGGCACAGCCTCTAACATGGGAGTGGGCCTGACATATTGAAGGACGGCAAAAGAGGCCAGTGTGGCAGGAGCAGAGAGAGAGAGAGAGCAAGGAGCAAGTCAGAGCAGATGAGGCCCACAAGGGGACTGAAGACAGATCAGAGAGACTGAGTGAAACAGTGCCCGGGAAGTGATTTGACCTGATTTTTTTTTAAAGATCACTTTGGCTGCTGTGACAAGAGTGGACCAAGGGGAAAGGCAGGGGAGGGAGAAACAGAGACCTGTTAGGAGATGCCACTGGTTCTAGATAAGAGATGATTCCACTCATTGCAGAAAAAAATCAGTCTTACATTAAAGAGTTAACACGGTTTTGAAACCTTAGCATTAGAATCCCTCTTTCAAATGAAATCTGTCGTGGAAGTCTGGTGGATAAAACAAGTCAAAGTGAATCACTCAGGATGAAGCAGGGGCTGTGGGGCCAGAGTCCTACCCACCAGCCTCTCCTGCCCACCACACCCCAAACTCAGACACACAGGCCTGGGACTGCCCCACCCCCAAATCCAGCTTCCATAGAAGGAGTCTGCTCCCAGCCTCGAGAAATGTATTACTAGCAAATAAACTTTATATCCCAGTTGCCTTAGGCTATAGGGCACTGTTGGCTAGAGTGTTGAAGAATACAGCTCGGCACACTGGAGTTGTATATAGCACAATACATGATGTTTTAATTTGTTCCCCACCTTCATGGCTGTGAGTCACCAGCCTCCCTAACCCCTGAGCACTGTGCCTGGAAAACTTGCAGGTGAGCCAGGAAGCCTTTTAGACCTGTTGACCTTTGTAAAATTGGGGGATAGATTTCCAAAGAAAATTCAAAGTTTTCTGTGAAAGAAAATCCAGAGACTTCTAAAGAAATCTCGATGCCAGGTTCTATAACCAGATGAAAAGAAACCAAATACCAAGTTTGGTTCATTGCAGTTGCAGATCCCTGTGTCAGGAGGTCCCCACTCACACAGTGCCTGCCTGCCTTGTGTGTTGGTTTCCCAGGAGTTTGTAGAGCCACCGCATATAACTAGTCCCAAGTCATATGTACTAGTAAAAACTAATAGGCTTTGGTGGCTCAGTGGTGGAATTTTCACCTTCCATGCGGGAGACCCGGGTTTGATTCCCACCTAGTGCACCTCATGGGCACCCAGTACGCCATCTTGTCAGTGGTGACTTACGTGTTGCAATGATGCTGGACAGTTTCAGTGAAGCTTCCAGACTAAAACGGACTAGGAAGAAAGGCCTAGTGATCAACTTGCCAATGAAAGCAGCATCCAAGGCACGAGAATTGGTCTTTGGTCACTTGGCGCAACAGAGGAAGGAGAATCAGGGATAGGAGGAAGATGTGGAATGTGTGGCTAACTGCCTTCTTTGCCATGAGACCAGAAGAACTGGATAGTGCCTGGCTACCATTACTGAACATTTTGATCAAAGGTTCCATAGAAGAATCCTGATCAAAAGAGGGAGAATGTAGAAGAGAATTCAGATTCCCATAGACTCCAGACTTTCTGGAGCCATGGAGGCTGGATGAACTCCTAAAAGTATTGCCCTGAGATAGTCTCTAAAACTTAAACCAAAAATATCCCCTGACATCTTAAAACCAAACAATAGTTTAGCTTAACCAGTAAAAAATGCCTGCTTTAAGCATTATGCTCTTTTAAGAACTATCTATATGGGATCAAAGTGACAACAACTCAGAAGATTAGATAGGAACCTTAGGGGTCAGTGAATTTATGTTGATGGGGGAGGAACAACTCAGAAAAGGAGGGTGAGAATGATTGCACAACTCGAAGAATGTAGTCAATGTCACTGAAACATATGTAGAAGCGGTTGTATGTTTTGCTGTGTGTATCCTCAACAACAACAACAAAATAAAATTAAAGAAGAAAAGTGGTACTGAGATCCCAGGAAATATGGATGGGGCACTGACCAGGTCAATCATGGTAGATTAGTGTCATTGTTATTATAGTTATTCTACTTTTGTAAAAACAAACAAATAGACCCTGTGCTGTAATAGGGAAAAAAGAAAAAGAATGTAACCAGTGTCACTGAACAATATGTGTAGAAATTGTTGAATAGGAACCTTTTTTTTGGTATGTACACTTTCACCAAAAATATAATAAAATATTATTAAAAAAAAAAAAAACCCTATTGATCATAACAGTCCAACCTGCAGCGGATCACGGGGATGGCACAGGACAGGGCCGCGGGTAGTTCAGTTGTACATGATGCCACCAGGAGTCAGGGCCCAACTCAATGGCAGCTAACAACAAAAATTGTTGTAGATGGAGAGGCTCTTGGGGAAAAACATTTAACAAGCCATCTCCCTTTCTGCCCTCCTTTAAAACACTTCCCCCAGTAACTTAACCAAGCCACCAGAGGGAGCAGTTAAGTGTTGCTCCTGTAGGTTCCCATCTAAGGCATGATGAGGTGGTTTGTGAAACAGTTATCTTTATTAAAATGTGAATGATACCAACTTATTCTGAAAAGGCACGCTGCCAGCACCTTTAATGAGCTAGTCGCTCTTCCTTCTGAGTCCCTTTGGACCCTGCTGAGGAGCCTGTGTCAGCCCTGGAATCGGTGCTGCATCAACCTGAACCCCAAGACTGGTTAGATGAGAGAAAGGCTACCATCGAGCCCATGTACACAGCTGCCTTGGAGTGGGGAAGTGGAACTTGAAGCAGAAAATCTCTGAAGGCTGGGCACTCCCCCATCTGGGGCCTGAGCCATAGGGCTGATGGGACGATGCCTGTCCAGGACAGGTGGGTGGAGCAGAGGCCAAAGGCAGCAAGCCCAGGTGGGAGGTTATCAGATAGCTTAGTGTTTGCCAGCCACTGTTCAAATTATTTTACACAGATTGTCTCGTTTACTTCTCAAAGCAAAACCATGGGGTTAATCCATTGTAGAGATGAGGCTCCTGAGGCCCAGAGAGGGTTGGTAACTTGCCCTGGTCACCCAGCTAGAAGTGGAGCAGACATACGAACCAGGAGCCAACTCAAGAATTCTGTCCTCTGGCCTCTACTCTTGGCCACCTCTCATGGGCAAGAGACCATGAAGACTTAGGAGAGGAGGTTCCCCAACCATCTTGGGGCTTTGTCTGACTTAGGGTGCAGGGAAGGGGGGCACTGAGGCTGAAGTGCTTTGAATGGGTTCCCTTAGTGAATAGTGAGAGAAGTGTGGCTTTTGCATTCTGCAGTTGAGATGCCAGAGGCTTCCCCCGGCCGAGGTGTGAGGCCCCTGGAAACCCAGGGCCTGAGTGCAGGCCTGGGCGGCACCACCCAGGGCACGGGGACGCAAAGACTGAGCCCTGGGGCCGCCACCAAAGTGAGCAGGAAGGCAGCTTCAGAGGAGGAGGAGAGGGAAATGAAGAAAAATGGACAGAGTCTTTTTACTTTGGGTATCGTCATAGTGATTTATGGTAATTATGTGCTGAGACTGACCCTCATTGTAAAGTGAGACTAAAAGCGTTAAGAAGCATCTAGATTTTGGTGACTCACTGGTAGACGTCTCACCTTGCACGCGGGAGACCCAAGTTCCATTCCCAGCCAATGCACCTCATCATGCGCAGCTACCACCTTTCTGTCAGTGGAGGCTTGCATGGTGCTGAACAGGTTGATGATGCTGAACAGGTTTCAGCGGAGCTTCCAGACTAAAACAGACTAGGAAGAAAGGCCTGGTGATCTCCTTCTGAAAATCAGCCAGTGAAAACCCTATGGATCACAACGATCTGATCCCGTTCTGCATGGAGTTGTGCAGCTCAACAGCAGCCAACAACAGATTTTGTCTGAGGACGGTCATTATCCCTGGGAGCCGGCTGCTGTGTGTAGTGCTGGCGGGGGGCCTGTATGGAAGTTCCTGTTGCTGGAAGACCACCAGTGAACACCTTCTCTGCCCTCTGCTTGTGTCTTACAGGTTGGCAGTCGCCGGGTGATACAGTACGGGGCGGCCCTGATGCTGGCACTGGGCATGGTGGGGAAGTTCAGCGCCCTCTTTGCGTCCCTTCCTGATCCTGTGCTTGGCGCCCTCTTCTGCACTCTCTTTGGTAAAAGTTGATTTATTTTGATGCCAGGCTTCCCTCTTCAGGCTCCTTTTCTTTTTTTTACGTTTGGTAATTTCTAATAAAAGGAGCCCTGGTGGTACAGTGGTTAAGTGCTCAGCTGCTAACCGAAAGGTCAGCAGTTCGAATCCACCAGCCACTCTGCAGGAGAAAGATGTGGCAGTCTGCTTCTGTAAAGATTTACAGCCTTGGAAACCCTATGGAGCAGTTCTGCTCTGTCCTATAGGGTTGATATGAGTCAGAATCAACTCGATGGCAGCGGGTTTTTTTAATTCCTCATGAAGGAGTCCCTGGGTGGTGGTAACGGCCAAGCGCTTGACTACTAGCTGAAACGGTGGTGGTTCAAACCCGTCTCAAAGACAGGCCTGGTGATCTGCTTCCAAACAGTCACCGCCTGTGGAGCATAGTTCTACTCTGCACACATGGTGTCATCATGAGTCAGAATGGGCTCAGTGGCAACTAACAACAACAATTTTTAAGATTGAAGAGAGCAATACATTTCTATTTTAAAAAAGAAAAGAATACGCCTTCTAAAACTAAAACCTACATCAGCCTCTTGAGTTGAATTTATGTTCAAGGTAGAACCAACAATGAGAATAATTTCCTCCTCTGAGTGGGCTGTTGAAAGCTGGCTGTTTTTTACAGTGGGACTCTAGATTTAATCACGGTGCCAGTCAGGTGTAGAAATCAGAGACATGTATCAAATATTAGGGTGGGCTTCCCAGCTCAATTGAAAAGTTTGCCTAAAGGTTTGAAGGGGAATCAATGTCCTTGTTTTTTACCTGATCTAAAGAAAACTTAGTGTGGTCTTTTTGCCCCTGTATAAGCCCAAATAGTGCATAAGCCAAAGACCACTTGCATCAGAAACCCAGGATAGTTACATTCCCACCCCCCCCCAACCCCCTCTTGTTCCTTCTGTCACTGCGCTGGTCTCCCAGCTGGTTCCTGAGGGGACAAGAAAGGACGCTGTAGAGAGTCTGCCTTCGACGGCCAAGAGGACTCAGCATCAGATGGTAGTGAGCTCAGTGGAAATTGGGGTCTCGTGTTTTTCTTTTCAGGGATGATCACAGCTGTCGGACTCTCTAACCTGCAGTTCATTGATTTAAATTCTTCTCGGAACCTCTTTGTGCTTGGATTTTCAATCTTCTTTGGACTCGTCCTTCCAAGTTACCTCAGACAGAACCCTCTCGTCACAGGTATGGATAACAGGCCTCAAATTCCTGGGGGAGTTGGAGCCACAGCCACCGATTCACAACGAGCTCTGCACTAGCTGGAGGGGACACGGAGCTTCAGGAATTGTTTTGATAAACATAGTCCTGTGTGTTTCTCTCAAATCTCACTTTGCTGTGGTTTATCTGGAAGCCCTTTGCATTTCCACATAACAGGCAGGCATGCAGAGCTGATGTGGATGTTACGGTCTCCTTTTACCGGAACCCTCTCTTTGGGAGAATGCCTCTTTGAAAACGTTTGGATTTCTCAAAGTAATGCTATATTTAAATGTGTAATTTCTTGAAATTCAGGTTTTTCTATTGGGATTACAGCTAAGAGCAATCAAGATTAGCCTTTTTAACGCCTTCATCCGTTTCTAGTTCTCCAGTGTCATGGAGAGTGAACAGAGGAGGCCTATCCTAAGGGATAGTATTGCTGCTGATACTTTATTTGAAGCAAATGCAGAATTGGAGGTCATTATGTTTTAAACATAGAAAGTGTGCAAATTTCCTAATAAGGACATTCTTGCGTTTTTTTTTTAAATTGCTTTTTAAATTTTCATACATCACATTCATATGGGGAAATCTTTATAAATCCATTGGCTCCTAAAAAATAGTAACCCAGAATTATATAAACCTTTGATTGCAGATACCACAGTCAAACAAAATATTTTTATTTCATTATTCTCTTTATGGTTTTCTCTCAGCCTTACAACAGTCATCTCTTATTTTGAATTATTTTAATCTGCGAACACTCCCCATGGCTTCAGAGTTCATTATAGGGTGAATCTCATTCTATTAGGTTTATCTTGTGCTCACTGTTGTTAGGAATTTTCCTTACAGAGACACCTTTCAGTCATGTTGAGAGTCATCAGTGTCGTGTCAGTCATTAGCGGTAGTAGTATATCTACATACGCACAGCCATGAAGCTTACACTGCCGTGCAGTGCAGCGGCTGGAGGGGTGGGCATGCCAGGCTGCTGTGCAGTGACCCTCTATACTGCTGTTTTCTGTTTCTAGGGATAACAGGAATTGATCAAGTGTTGAACGTTCTTCTCACAACTGCCATGTTTGTAGGAGGCTGTGTGGCTTTTATTTTGGATAATACCATCCCAGGTATGTGGTAGATAATCAAATGTGCTTATTATGTAATGTGAGTTACTGTTTAGCCAAATAAAAACGGAGAGCAGGAAGACAGGAGGAGTGAATCAGTTAACAATCATCCACCGATTATGAAGGGTGAGACAGTACACAATACAGGGGAAACTAGCACAGCTTGTACAAGGAAAGGTCATGGAAGCCCCATAGACACATCCAAACTCCCTGAGGGACTGAATTGCTGGGCAGAGGGCTCTGGGGACCATGGTCTCGGGGAACATCTAGCTCAGTTGGCATAACACAGCTTATAAAGACGATGCTCTACATTCTACCTTGGTGAGTAGTGTCTGGGGTCTTAAAAGCCTGTGAGTGGCCATCTAAGATACTCCACTGGTCTCATCCCTTCGGGAGCAAGGGAGAATGAAAAGAACAGGATACAAGGAAAAGATTAGTCCGAAGGACTAATTGTCCACAGCTACCAAGGCCTCCACCGGACTGAGTCCAGTACAGCTAGATGGTGCCCGGCTACCACCACTGACTGCTCTGACCAGGATCACAACAGAGGGTTCTGGACAGAGCTGGAGAAGGATGTAGAACATAATTCTAACTCACCAAAAAAAGACCAGATTTACTGGCCTAAAGGAGACTGGAGAAACCCCGAGAGTATGGCCCCAAGACACCCTTTTAGCTCAGTGGTGAAGTTACCTCCAAGGTTCACCATTCAGCCTGGGAGTGGACAGCCCCGTAAAACCAAATGAGACTAACGAGGTACAGTAGTCCAGTGACAAGGGCCAGAAGGCAGAAGGGGAGAAGGAAGCTGGTGATAGGGAACCCAAGGTTGAGTAAGGATATTGTTGATGTGTTGTGAGATTGTGAACCATTGTCATAGGGCAACATGTGTAGTAACTGTTAAATGAGAAACTATTTTGTTCTGTAAGCCTTCATCTTAAGTGTGAATAACAGCACAATTGGAAGAGCATAGTCAATGTCGCTGAACTGTAGAAATTTTTGAAATGGTGTATCTTTTGCTATGTGTATTTTCACCAAAAAAAAAAGGTTGAGAAGTTAGAGGGTTGACATGTTGTGGGATTGTTAACCAATGTCATAAAACAACATGTGTACTACTGTTTCATGAGAAACTATTTGTTCTGTAAGCCTTCACCTGAAGTACAGTAAAAATAAAATAAAATAAAATCAATAAAATCATCCACCGATTAAAACTGTCTAAAGGGATTGAGGTTACACTCCCAGCCACTTTACGAATCTTTTTTTTGGCTAATAAGTTGGTATTTTTTGCCTCTTTGACAAATTCTTGTTAAAAGAAAACAGGTAAAGTTGTTGCGCAGGGTGGAGAGCCATTGGGATGCCTGGTGCGCACTCCGGGGGGCCTGCCTGCCTCCATGGCCTGAGCTCCGAGCTGTGCCATTTGGCTTTCTTCTGTTTGTTCAACATTCTTACCACTTCTCTGACACCTGAGGCACTCCTCACCCTTGGGGAGCCTGCCCTCTCAGTGAGTCATTCCCAAGGCAGGCCCCCAGCCAACCTCAAGGCCAAAAGGCAGCGGAGTGTGGTAAACAAAGGCAGTCAGCGGGATCAGTGACAGGGAGGCGCAGGGAAGCAGCTCTCTTCCCCAGCACTCAGGACCCTGTTCCTCCGCTGGGTGCATTCTGTGGCCGGCACTGAGTGATGGACCGAGGAGGAGACGTGGGCCCCGCCTCCGGGCCTCCCTAGTCCATAGAGGAGGCTGTGGTGTGCCGTTATAAAATGCTGGTAGATGACCTGCCTTCCGGGCAGGAGCGGTTCCCCCTGGAAGGGTGACGCTTACTCTTGGGCTTGAAAGTTCGATTGAGATTTTCCCCTTGAAACAACTCACCCCCCAAAAGTTTCAAGCAAGAGTTTTCTGGGGAAAGCAGGGGTGGATACTTCAGACAGAAGACATCACATGCATAAATAGGTGGAAGGTGTTAGATTTAAGAGGGTCAATAAGCAACGCCCCCTTTCTCTCCTCAGCCAGAACTGATTGAGAGGGAGGCTCAGGAATCAGATGGAAAGTAAAAAGTCAACTTTATCACGCAAACACCAACAGGAGAACATAGCTTAGATGCAAGAAAATAATGTGCTTCTTAAACATCACCACAAAACCTAGCTCGTCACCTGCTTAGGCAGAGACGCATGTTGTTAGGTGTCCTGGTGTCTTACATTTCTGATGCTGCTGTTACAGAGATACTACAGGGAGTGACTTTAAAGAGTGCACATTTTCTCAAATCAGGGTCTTGGCCATGTCGATTCTGTCTGTGGCCCCTCTCCTAGTTTCTGGTGTCTGCCAGCAGTCCTTGGCATTCATCTGCCTGTAGCCAGGCCTTCACATGGCCTCTGTCTTCCCCCATGTGTGTCTCTGTGTCTGTTCTGCTCCTTTTATAGCCCAGAAGTGATTAGGTTTAGGACCACCCAGCTCTGGCACAGTCACATTAACATAACAAAAGAAAAACTCTATTTGCAAACAGAATCACATCCGTAAGTACAGAGGCCAGGACTCCGGTGCATATTTTGGAGGAGCACAATCCAGTCCATAGCACCCACCCACGTAGCCAAATCAGATCCAGCACTCCTCCCTGACTCCTCAGCTGGGAGTTGCTGACTCTTGTGGGCCCAGGTCTTCCTGCCTGACTCGTCTGTCAGGGTGCCAGGTGGTCGGGTGTGGGTCCAGTGGAAGGCCACTCTCACAGGAGCAGGACAAGTGGAGAGCACACGACCAGTGTATACACACACACACACACACACACACACAAATAGAGCAAAGCAGTGTAACATCCTCGGTGTGTCTGGATGGGGGTGAGGTGGTGTGCATGGCCTGTGATGAAGGCCTTGTGTGGCGTAGTGAAGACAGCTTCATTTTGCAAGGTAAAATTTTATATTTTTTGTACAGTGTTAAAGATTTGCAGAGTACAGGTGAGGTGAAAGGACTGGATAACCAGTTAGGAGGCTGACACGGTGCCCCAGGAAAGGGATGACCTGGCCTGGGCCAACCCTCAACAGTGAAAATAGAGAACATGGGTCACGTGGAAGGACATGGAGGAAGAAAGTGTAAATGTGGAACACGGGAGGCTAGTGGTTCTGAGATTTCTGGTTGAGACAGCTGGACAGCTGAGTGCCATCAACTTCTCGGGTTTTCGTCACTGTCACCAGGCAGGTCTGATCTAGGAAAGAGCATATTGGGGAGTCTCGTTCTTTGTTGGCTGATTAACTCAACATTTTGTTGTTCTGTTTTGGTTTGCGTGTGTGTGCACGTGACAGGTACTCCAGAGGAAAGAGGAATCAGGAAATGGAAGAAGGGCGTAGGCAAAGGGAACAAGTCGCTTGATGGCATGGAGTCGTACGATTTGCCATTTGGCATGAACATTATTAAAAAATACCGATGCTTCAGCTATTTGCCCATCAGCCCAACCTTTGTGGGCTACACTTGGAAAGGCCTCAGGAAGAGCGGGAACAGCCGGAATTCAGACGAAGACTCGCAGGCCACGGTATAGCCTCAGAGTGCTCAGTGGCCGGCCACAGTGAGGCATGTCTGTGTAGTTCCTTGCTGAGCAACAAGCAGTAGAATATATGTTTGCGTATCTGCATTTACATTCTGCACCCGGAGCTAAGACTGATGACAAATAGCTTTTCTGTTGTGGGTGGTGATCGTGTCTAATACGGTGTCTCGCCTGTATCCTTATTTAAATTAAGCCCTTGACCCTTTGCCTTTTTGAGACTGTCCATTGCTGGACATGGTCACATGGTCACTGAACTTGAAGTCCCAGTCCTCCTGTAGGAGGGGATGTTTGGGATCCATGGTCATTCCTTATTTTCAGTCCTGTTCTTAGAAGGGTGGGGTCGAGTTTAGGGCCTGTGCCACACTCAGTGTTAGCTTTCCTGCAGCTGCCCCCAGGGTCCAGTGGCTCTCTGGCCTGGACACACTTGGACCTATTTCCTTTTTATTTGATTTTTGCAAGTCTTCACCTCGGCCTGTGCTTGCAGACACCTCTTGTGGCCGAGGAGCACGTGTGCTTGCATTGTCACAGCTGACTGGTCAGTTGTGACTCTGTATTTCCCTAATACTCCTGTAGCGGGAGGATACTGACCCCATCGAAAACTGTGCCATGTCCACCCTGTGCCGCGACGTGTACACGGGGAAGGCCTGTATTATTATTAGAATGGGGATTTGTCCAGGGGATTGTAGAGGAAGGGAAAGTACCTTTAAGTAATGTCTGATTGTCAGCTGCTCTTTCTCCGTGCCACCCTGCCCCAGGCTAGACCATACGTTTCCTGTTGGCCTCTCCTTTACTAGTAGCTGAGACACCCTATCTGGCATTTGTCACCACTGGCTGTTGTGACAGGTATAGTGTGCCACACAAGGCACCAGGCAGGTGTTTCTGGGAGTCTTGGCTCTGCTGTCATGTGGATGTTAGTTACCGTTGCGTGCGTCTATAATTACAAGATTTTATTCCTATTTAATGTTATTGACTATAGCAGATTTTTGAAGTCAGTGTTTTTCCATGTGACCCTCTTTCCCTGCATCCCCATTACTTGTCCCCCAACCCCACCCCCATTAAGAAAAGAACCAGCATTTGTAAAGCTGTGGACACCATCAGGGAAGCTTGTTGTAATGGCTTTTGAAGGCCAGTAACCATTATTGTGGTTGTGTTTTGTATTGCTTGATACCATGAAAGTGTAAATACTGTAATGCCTAATCTATTTATCAAAACTGACTACTGGACCAGAGCCCAGAAACCGTGGGTCAAGGTATATGTGAATTTGTTTTGTGAAGAAGGGAAGCTGGGGCAGGTATCGAACAGAGATGCCATGTTGAATGGTATGTCATCCTAGTAAATTCACTACTCCAGTTAAAGCTCTTCTGTTGTAAGTCATTTCTGGCAGTCATGGCTTAAGGCAACTTTCTGTGGGTTGCCACATTGCATGTCCACTAGATTTTGCAGAGGGGAAAGTTAGATTCCCTGGCCAAATGCTACCTTTCATGTTTTAAGTTATTGCATAAGGTGGTGAAAACAGTGGCTGGCTGGCTCCCTCTGTTAAAAAGAGTTCTAATTAATAACACTAAATTCTTCCGGGGCGGGGGTAAGGGGGGCAGTGGCAGACTTCTGTTTAATTTGAAGTTTTCAGCCAAGGAAAAGCCCAGGACATAAAGTAATAACCTCACTTCATGGAGTTGTACTTCTTAAGTGGTCATTGACCTGGTTGAGCTTTGGTTGGCAATGGGCATTCCTGGCTCCAAGAGCACGGGCCTGGTCCTTGTCAACCTTGTGTTGACATGGTGAACTTCTTGCCATCTGAGGCTGGCTCAGCCTCACCATCTGGAGATGTCTTTTTATCACTACAGACCCCGCCCCCCCCCCCCCCCCCCCCACCCCCGGAAATGTTGAGCTTTGAGGTTTATTATACAAGAACACCTCAGAGCCACTGCGTTGTTTGGCCAAGATCTTATTGCAGATTAAGTAAAGAATGTAGATTCTAAATTACGTTTAATTTTGGACTCTGTTTTTTTTTTTTAAAGAAGTGTATTTGATGCAAAGTGCCTTTAGAAGCACATGGGTTAACTGTCTTCATCCCTCAAATGTGGTAAGCCCCTGAGGCTCCTGTATTGAGCTGGTCTCAGTTCTTACTATCTGTAGTCCGCTCCGCATCTCTAATTTCTCAGCTCTGAAAAATGGAGACAGCTGCTAAACTTCCCAGAGATTTGGACTATTCTCGCTCTCTAGGTGAGCAGAAGAGCCAAATAGCCAATAAAAGCTCCCCCCACCCCACCCCACCCCACCTCAACTCAGAGACAAGTTTTCTTCAACTCAACTTGACCAGCATCTTCCCTTGCATTGCATAACTCGTTTACATGCTTCAGACATCCAGAAACCCAGGCTCTTTGGACCAAGTTTTATTGGGAGATTTCAAACCTGCTAGTCTGAGGGAATGTCTTAACGTGAAGGGAAGCCCTGCATCCGTGGTTGATGGATCCATCCGGGCAAACGTTAGATTCTCTGTCCAAGAAGGGGAGAGGACAGGAGGAATGGAGGGAAGAAGGCAGCCTTACTAGAAGCCCTCGTTGAGTCTGGCACTTTCTGCACAGCTTGTGAAACTTACCTTGCTTGAGTGATTGGAGTCTTATAATAAATAATAAATCATGCATGGGTAGCACACACAAGCCATTTTCGGAAGTGATCCCTCCTGCTAGCGAATGTGCTGGAGAAGGAAAGTCTATAACTGAAAAAGAAAACTTATCCATCTGTTTCTTGGGTTTCAGCATACCCCTGAAGGGGAGGTTTGTGGGGAGCGGTGGACATGCGTGGTCGGTGCCTGTAACACTACTTATCACGTGCTGGTCTGCATCTCTGGGTCACGTATTGGCCATCCTTTGTTTGGCCAATAGAATGTTCTAAAATATTTTGAATTTGAATGTCCTTGGGCAGGGCATTCAATCTCCAGTTTCCACAGTGACCACCTACCCACCATCTTCACAGGTTATCTGCCTGGCCCCCAAAAGAAAGCATTTGGGTTGGCACTCCTGCCATAGAAAGTGTTTATATGAACAGGAGATGCTGCCATATTCACGGTGCGGGGGCAGAGGAGACCCCACCACTGGTTTTGGTAAATATTTGTCTAATGTGATTCACACAGTAATGGGAAATGGCTCCAGTCTTTGTAAATGATTTTCACTCTCACTAAGGAGTTAAGTTTAACAATCTCTGATAAAAAATTTATATTGAGTCTTTCTTAAGAGGTTTTCAAATGTCAACTTTCAGCAAGTGTTCTGTGATCTGTCAAGGGAAGAGAAGAGGTTTAACAAGCTAGCTAGAATGAAGCATCGTGGGCCCCAGTGGTTTCCCTTTTTCATGGTGACAAATTCACACCCAGGATTTGCTTTATACTGTAGAATACTGACTTTCATGACGACGAGTTGGTTTATGCATGAATATTGCAGCATTTCCATATAGTAAAATAACATTTCTGCCCAGGATAATAGTTACAGTTTTCCAGGGGGGGAATGATATAATTTTCATGACAATGTCATGTGATGATAGAATTTCTCCATTGATGAATCTCTAGTATGTGTGTATACTTTATTTACCCATGCGTCTGTATTATTACCAAGAGCTAAGTTGTTATTTCTTTAATTCACGTCCCTGCTGAAATATTGGTACTAGCAACTTAGACGTCAAGTCGGCAAGTATAACCTTTAGTAATATTTGTGCCTGAAGTGTGGCCAGGCTGGATGGAAGATGAGTAAGGAGCTGTGGCGATGGCCTCACTCCAGAACCTTTCTGGCTAGAGAGGAGGCAGTGTCCTGTAGGCTGCTGTTGTGGGTGTACGCTCGGCTGCAGGCAGCTGTGGCCACACCGGGCTTGCTTTCCCAGCTGTTGCTGGATGCCCAGTGTGCACAGCCACTGCGCCCCCTGTTGGTGGTGGTGGTGTATGGCACACATGCCTACGCATCCACAGAGCTTTCTTCTCCGAGGGAACAAAGGAACGGCCTGTTGACTTTAGAGAAGAACCTTGGGTTTCACATGCGTGTAGTGCCCTGTCCCCTTACACTTTGGGCACAGAGAATAGGACATCTCCCACCCTCCACCCATCCTTAGCCACAACCGGAGTAGTACAAGAAGGCCGCCCAGTTTTGCCAGCGTTCAGCTTCCGCCTGTGGCCCCATAAAGCATGTTAGCACTGGGGATCCCTTTTCAGCAGCCTCACAAACATTCCTGCCCTTCTAGGTTGTGCCTGACTGCGCCTCCTCGTCTCTCCACATCAGCACCATCCGGCATCCTTCGAATTGCTGTGTGTGTTTTCGGGCACTTAGGACATTCTTACCAGTGTTGGCATCTTACTGACAGTTCCAATTAATACACTTTTTTGTTTGTTAGTGACAACCTTTGTTTGACACATTAATAAATTACTGCCTGTTGTTAAAACAGTAGGGATGTCTGTATTTTGCTTGTGTATCTGTGACTGACCTTGGCTATATACCTTTCTGGGATTTTGATTTTGTTTTTTTGTTGTTGCTGTTTTGTTTTATTTTGCATACTGAGGGTGTTTGGGATGGGGTTGTTTTTTGAGATGTGTAATTCTTTTACGGAGTTTTTAAAAAGAATTTTCATATTGTTTTTCTAACATGGCTTCATTAAACGTTTAAGTATTTTAAAAATATGTAATAATGTTTGGACCAGATGTTGTGAATAATAGTAGAGACAAAGCTATTTTATTCTGTATTTTTAAAACTGTTCCGTACAAATAAAAGCTCTCCTGGACGCAGTTTTGCTGTTCACAGGCCTCCTTCTTTTGGCTGGTCTTCAAGAGAATTGTAACTCATGAAGTTAAAGGTCGTCACCTAGGGGAGGGAAATGGACCCGTAAAAATCCAGTTCCACAAGTTTGCAGGTGTTACCGCTGTCAGGCGCCTGGAAGACTTGGAGGATGGAAACGGGAGCATGGATGTGATCCGTGTGCTCGCTCCTCGAGAACCAGTGACGGACAGGGGCCTCGAGAGGATGTGTAACGGGGACTGAGGCCTCAGAGGTGTTACAGAGTTAGAGAATGCAATGCGCTGGATGTGGGGGTGAAGTTTGGAGTCCCTCATGTCAGC